AATAAATTCTCCGTTAAAAATCTAGAAAAGAAAATTCCTCTAAAGAAAATATTATTCCAAAAAGATAGTTAAAAAAAATTCTACTCTAGAAATAATTTCTCCGTTACAAAGTTCGGAAAGAATCTTTCCGAAATTTGCAATGGAGAATTTATTTCTAAAGTAGAATTTTTTTATTTCTGAAGAAAATTTCTCTTAAAAAAAATTCCCCCAAAGAAACTATTTTCAAAAAGTAGTTCCATTTGAGAAATAAATTCTCCGCTAAAAATTTTTATTTCCTAGTCAACTTCCACTTTTAAAACAAATAGAAATTCCGACTTCTATTTTGTTACTTCCTATACTTTTTTATCCTCGTCTCTTTCTTTTTTTTTTCTTAAATTGTAATCACCATTTCACTGAATACACTTGTTATTATTAATTTCCCCGCTGTTTTCTTTATGCAGATAATTTTTTTTTCGGTTAGAAAAATTCACTGGAAGTTGAATTTTATGAGACGTATATAAAATATAAACACTGTGAAGTAATAAAATTTGCGTTTCCTGTTTAAAATATAATGCACATGATGCACGTATTCACGAAAAAACGAGAGGAATTTTTGTTTATGTAATAAAATCCCCTTTTTGCCCCTCCCGATAACGAGAAAAAAAATATTGTCAAAATTAATTGGGTACCGACCAGATGTCCCATGGCTAAAAAGTTTGTAGACGATGCGCTGGTACAAAGAGAACTGGATGTTGAAGGAAAGGTACAAGGCATTATTTATACCAAGTACAACTTTCGCTGGTACAAATACTAAAGATTTTTAAAGTCCAGCTCTCGATTCGGGTAATTATCCACATTTTAAATGATCTGTATAATCCTACTTTTACAGCCATTGACGGTGCCCAAGCTCGTGCCAATTCCGCTCGTAAATTCTAACGCTATATATAGGCTTCTATTAAAATCTCACCTAATCACTTTATTTGTGGAGAAAAAAAAGACGAGATATTGTTGAAAATAATATTTATTTAGTAATAAATAATTGTTTATTGAAACAAATTTTTTATTTTATTTTATTTTACGTTTGGAAAAAGTTTTTTTATTTTGTATCCCAAAAAAAAATATTTGTTTTCATTCGGAGAAGAATTTTTTTTTTAATTAACATTCAAGAAAAAATGTTTACTTTCCTTTACGTTCTGTAAAATTGTTTTGTTACATTCAGAAAAGAATATTTTGCTACACTCGTAAAAAAATTTTTATTTTACCTTCGGAAAAGAATTTTTGTTTTATTTTACATTCAGAAAAAAATGTTTGTTTTATTTTACATTCAGACAATTTTTTTGATACATTCGGAAAACAATTTCTACTTTTTTTACATTCGGAAAATTTTTCCTTTTTGCATTCGAAAAAAAATTTTTGCTCTATTTTACATTCGGAAGAATTTTTTGGTAGGTACTTTCGGAAGAAAATGTTCATCTTATTTTCAATTCAAAAAATTTGTTGTTATATTCGAAAAAGTATTTTTACTTTTTTTTACATTCGGAAAAGAATGTTTGTTTTATTTTACATTCAGATTGTTACATTAAAAAAGTGTTCATTTTATTGTCAATTCAAAATAATTTTTTTTACATTCGGAAAAGAATTTTTGTTTTATTTTACATTTAGAAAAAGATTTTTGTTTTACTTTACATTCAGACAATTTTTTTGCTACATTTGGAAAACAATTTTTACTTTTTTTTAGATCCGGAAATTTTTCCATTTAACATTCTAAAAAAAATTTTTGCTTTATTTTACATTTGAAAGAATTTTTTCGTACTTTCAGAAAAAAATGTTCATCTAATTTTCAATTCAAAAAAATTTGTTGTTACATTCAGAAAAGTATTTTTACTTGTTTTACATTCGGAAAAGAATTTTTACTCTTTTTAAATTTGGAAAATTTTTCATTTTACATACAGAAATAAATGTTTATCTTATTTTCAATTCAAAAAAAATTTTTTTGTTATATTCGGAAAAAAATTTTTACTTTTTTACATTCGGAAAATTTTCTATTTTACATTCGAAAAAAAATTTTTGCTTTATTTTACATTCGGAATAATTTTTTGGTACATTCAGAAAAAAACGTTCATTTTATTTTGAATTCAAAAAAATTTGTTGTTACATTCGGAAAATAATTTTTACTTGTTTTTCATTCGGAAAATTCTTAATTTTACATTCGAAAAAAAATTTTTTATTTAATTTTACATTCATATTTCATTTTACACTCAGAAAAAATGTTTAGTATTTAACATTCGGAAACATTTTTCGTTACATTTGGTAAAAATTTTTTAATTTATTTTCGAAAAGAATTTTTATATTATTTTACATTCAGAAGAAAATTTTTACTTTATTATACATTCGGAAAAATTTGTTGTTACTTGAAAGAAAGTTTATTTTATTATCAATGCGAAAAAATTTTTTGTTACATTAAAAAAAAAGTGTTTGTTAAATTCGACAAAGAATTTTTATTATTCTTTACATTCAGAAAAAAATGTTTATTTTGTTTTCGATTTGAAAAAAATTTTCGTTACATTCGGAAAACGATAAAAAATTGTTGAAATAAACGAATATTATTTTATTTTGTAAAAATTATTTCTAAAGATTATTATTTTAATTTTCATATTTGAAAAAAATTTTGTTCTCTACAAATTTTTTCTGTTTAATTTCGACGATAAAATTCGTAATTAATTATGTAGACAGATTTTGTTGAAGATAAAAAAAACTTGAGAGGAAAAAAAAATTTCTAATGATAATTAATTTAATAAATAAGGGGACAAATAATTTTTTTTTCGAAGAAATATAGTTTCTGTAGAAAATAGTTATTGTAGTTAAAAAAAAATGTTGATATATTTTAATAAATTATCTAAGACGTTAATTTGTAAAATGAAATTAAAAATATAATTTAGAATTGTTTATTTAATCTTCAAAAAAGAGGAAGTATATTTGAGAATGTTTCCTCATGACATAAGAAAGTACGCAAACGTAGGTTATTACGAAGTTCCTATTGTTTTCATAGTGAAAAAGCAGAATTGACTTGTTTGTAATTATTGACATTAAAATTCATCGCATTTTCTAAATCCCATTTCGGATTACGTTGCATTACATATTTTTTTATATTACTTTATTATTCATTAGAAATTTAGATTTTTGATTAATCGCAAAATTGATTTAGATTTCAATTTTCCGTATCTTATTTATTCTCTATTTTCTTGTTTTAATTTTTGACTATTTTGTAACTATTAGTTTTGGTTTTATTTATTACTTATTTATATTATTTATTTACAAAATCAGTTTCCGAAAATTAATTTAATTGAAAATAATATAATTTAATTTTAATTAAATTTAATTATACTCTATTGAATTTTATTTTGAATACGGAAATTGAAATTAATTTAGAGAACTAATTTTAATGGAAGTCGTGACATTTTTTGTTAATTTCCATTTTTTTAAAAACTAAAATAAATTAATTAACGAAATATTGATAAAATGGCAAAATAATTGCCTCCGTTTTAGCTGAATTCGAAAATTAGAATTAGAATTTTTATAATTAATAGAAAATTAAGATTATTTAATTGATTAATTAATTATTGATTAATGAATGAATTATTATTTAATTAGTTAATTAATAATTAAATTATTAATTACAATATTAATAAATTAGCCATTCAGTGTCAATAAAATCGAAAATTATAATTATAATATTAATTAACTAATTATTAATTACTTAATTAAATTAATAATTAATAACATAATTAATAATCGAATTAAAAATCGAATTATAAATTAATTCGAAAATTGTAATATATAAATAATGATATCAGTGTATTGACTTATTGTCGAAGATGAAATCTCGAGAGAAAGGTAACTTTAATGTTTAATTCGCCGCGAGAAAAACGCATATAAGTGCAATAGTCCAGGCATAATTGTTGTAATAAATCCGCTACGATTGGTTGCAACTCTCATCTCTAAAATTTCAAGTTAGACTCAAATGAAAGTCATATTTTATTACTTGTCAAGAAACATTAACAATATTAATTACTACTGTTATTTGAAATATATTTCAAAAATTATCGTTTTTCGTATTGAATTTGTCTCTTCTAATAATAATTGCAGTAAATTAATTATTAATTAATTTATAAATATAAATTCAATCAATATAAAGAATTACAATTAATTATTTATTATTTATTTGTTGTATTTCTTTGAATCAATTTTTCACTAATTAATTAATTAAAATTAAATAATTACAATTCAAAATAATTAATTAGTTGCAATTAAATTATTCTAACTTATCAATATTCATTTAATTAATTAATGCAATTAATTATTAACAATTTGTTTATTGTGATTCTAAAAATTTAATTTTTAAAGTCCAAGTGAATGAAATTAATTAATAATATTTAAATATTGCAATTTATTAATATTAATTTAATGTTGTTGAATTTTGGGCAATTGATACCGCCCCAATGTTTGCAATTAAGTAATTATTTATTTATTTATTGCATTTTTATTAAATCAATCTTTAAAGTCCGAGTTAATGTATAATAATTATTTAACAAAAATTTAATAATTACAATTAAATAATTAGTAATTACATTAATGTAACATATCAATATTAATTGAATAATTACAATTAATTAACAGTAATTAAATTACTGTAATTATTAATAATAATTTAATTTCTTGAATTAATTAATAATAATTAAATTATAAAGAAATTTTTTTCGATTTTTGGAAGATGATGGAAAAATTAAAAAAGAATAACTTTTTTAATTTTTTATCATCTTCCAAAAATCGAAAAAAATTTCTTTATAAATACTATAATGGAATGAAAAACTATTTCAAATAATAATTAAATTAATTTATTATTATTTATTATTAATTAATAGTAATTAAATTACTTTATCAATTAATTTATTTAATTAATTGTAATTATAATAAATTTATTAACGTTAATCGATGTTGTTAATTAAAACGTCTTGTTATAATTTAAGATAAATTTTGAATTTATTTAACTAATCAATTTTAAATCTATAAAATAATTTACAAAATTACGTTACGAGTACAATACAGATTTGACAATATTCGCAGTGAATAATGAACTAATTAATAATTAATTATTTTTACAAACTATTCTATTTTTCTATTTCTATTTTCTCACTACAATACGATTTTTTAATTTCACCTATTTTCTCTAGTAAAAAAAAAATAACAATAAATATTCGCAGTGTAATTGAAAGCAAAAGTATCTAAAAAAAAATTCTTATTTCTTACTTTTCCTCATGAACTTGTGGAACGTGTTCGTGACTATTATCACTATCACCATGACCGTAATCTTCAATTGGAACGTGAACATGTTCTTCAACTGGATAGGGAACGGGTTTTTCCACTTCGACCTTGACCGGAACGGGAATATTTTTCTCGACAAAATAGGGAACATTTTTTGCCACCGGAACTGCGTATGGCTGTAAAACGGGAACAGGCACTGGTCTTTGTACCGGCACTTTTATCGGATAGTGAACAATTTTTTCAACTGGAAATGGTTGTGGTACTTTTTCGGTAAATTTCACTGGTACGGGAATATTTCTCTCAACGGGAAATGGTTGTGGTACGGGTACTTTAACTTGATAGGGAATTTTTTTCTCAACTGGATATGGATCGGGAATGAAGATTTTTACGGGTATGGGACGTTCTATTGGTACGTGAACGGCGTATGGAGTTCTTTTTATCACTGGAATGGGTTTGGGAATTTTCACGGGCACTTTTACGAAAACCTTGACTGGAACTGGAATTTTACGCTCGACTGGATAGGGTTCGGGAACTGGTACTCTTACCATGTAGGGAATATTTTTTACCACCGGATAGTGAATGGTATTTTCCACTGGAAAGGGGACGGGAATTTTTTTCACAATTGTTAGTGTTTTGACGACGTCCTCGCGAAGATGCTGGGTGAGAATCTCTTCGTTTTGACTCGCCTCTGCTTGTTGGTCCTCTGGAAAATTGCCCTCTGAAAAATTTTCTAAAATTACTATTTTTTTTAAATTACTACTTTTAGTTTTTTTTTTTTTTTACAGTAGCAGATATTTTGTTATTTTTTATTGTTATTACTAGCAAATTGTATTCTTTAATTGTTCGTTTAATATTTAGACAATAAAAATCTGTGTATTCTGAAGAAATAAATAAATTCTAATAATTCCCTTTGGGGGGAATCGAACCCCTGACACTCGGTTCACAATCATGCGCGTTAACGACTACGACTAAGAGCTACATTACAATTTTTAATATTTTATTGTATTATATTTTTCTTTTTAAATAATTTTTTATATACAATAATATATATTCTACTGCATAATTTATTAATATTATTTTTATTAATAATTATTATTACTAATTACTAATAGTTGATAATAAGACCTAATATTAATTTCTAATGACATAATTTATATTTTTAATTTTTAAATTATTTCTTATTATAATTATATAATTTTTATTATGAGTTAATAAAATATTTTTATATTATTTTTCGTAAATAATAAACAACATTTGTTTTTTAATTTTAAATTATAAGAAACATATTTGTTTTTTATTTTTAAATAATAAACAATTTTGTTGTTTAGGCTATTTAAAAAATTTTAATACTAAAAAGAAAGGACATGTCCCGTTTATAATAAATAAATAAATAAAAAACGTAATTAATTAAAAAAAAACTGTTTTTTATTATTTAAACAATAAAAAACGTAAATAATAAGAAACAAATGTTTTTTAGTTATTTACCAAAAAATGGACGAGAACTAATTTTGATTTTAATTGAAAGGAAAATTTTGAAATTGTTAATTATTGGATAAATGTCATATTATTATTGAATGAAGAGAGACCTTTATTTTCTTGATTGGCCTCAGTTCGATCGATCCTTTCATTTTCTTTGACTCTTCCAATTTTCTTGGCCGATGGGAATTTAATAGAACTCGTTTCATTACGCTCCACATTTTCATGACGGTATTTTGTATTCATTGGCTGAACTCGAGTAACGACGTATCCAATCTTTCGATTTGATTCCTTGTCATAAATGTATTCGAGTTTTTTGATTTTTGGCGATATTTCACCACTCGTGAATGTTACGATGAATAATGCCAGCACTATCGCTGAATAACTCTGTTTAAAATTCCAAAAAGTTGTAAATTTTAATTTTAAAATAAATAATTGCTAAAATAATAAAATTAACACAAAAATTATTTTTAATTTAATTTTACCAATAAAGTATACAGTAGAATAATTTTAAATTTAATTTACAAAAAAAAATCTTTGAAAAATTTATAGAAAAACTAATTAAAAATTTAATTTACAAAAAAAAATAATTTTACATTTAAAAAACTAAAAACTGAAAAAGTGAAAACAAAGAGTTATTTTTGAAAATTTTTTTTTTACTGGTTTTTTTAAATTAAATTTTAGATTTTTCATATTTGATGTAAAAGTATTCGAGAAATTGTTTAAAAAATTAAAAATTATTATTTTGAAAGATTATTATGTTATCCACTATAATTAAAAAATTAATTTTCACAAAGGAAATTCATTTTTATATCGCAATGGAACATAATTAATGTTTAATTAACACGTCGGATGGTATATAAGAAAATCGTTTTAAATAGAGAGTTTCGATATGGTTCGTCTATTATAAAATTCGAATTCACGATGAAAAAAATAATTAATTTATAAAATTTCGATCTATTCTATAATTTTTTTTTTCCATTCAAACATTGATTTGAAAAAGACAATGTAAAATAAAAATAAACAAATATAAATAAATATAAATAAATATAAATAAATATAAATAAATATAAATAAATGTAAATAAATAATAAATATAAATAAATATAAATAAATGTAAATAAATAAATAATAAATATAAATAATTAAAAAATAAGTATAAAAAAATAGAAATAATTGTAAAAACGATTATTAATAAATATAGATAAATAAAAAAACATATTGCGTAAAAAATGTGAATTTATTAAAAAGAGTAGAATTAAAAAAAAAGAAATTTGCAAAGTACAATATGTTATTTGTTTTGTAGACAGTCGAAAAGATTCAAAGTGTTGAGAATAAGCGAATTTATTAAATTTCACGAGAGTTAAATGAACAAAGGGCTTTTAACCGTATCAATTGAGCGAATAAATTAAATGAACAAACGGAAATTCTCACAATACGAGAAACGTGGGAATTTAATCGTTTAAATCCGCAGTAAAATTTTTTTTTTCAACTGCAATTTTCCATCTCTTGTTTTTCATTATTGAATTTTTTTTCGAATCACTCACGATTGATTTTTATTCATGATTGAATTTTTTTTTTTGAATTTTAATTCGCATAAAATTTTATTCACATCGCGCATTACACTCGCGTTAATGTTGGACGTGGAAAAGGAAAACGTACCGTGTGTCCCATGATTAAAAAATAAAAAAAAATTTTTTTTTTTGAAAATTTAAACAATAGAGAAAAATTGGAATTGAACGATTTGAAATGAAACACTTGTTGTAAGATGAGGTTTAATTCTTTTTCAAGACTGACCACTAGCATCGGTATGTTTTCCCTCTTTATATGACCAATTATAGTGAGATGCAGCCAAGCAGAGCTTTTCACAAGAGATTCTTTCTTGGAGAGGCATCTCTTTTTCACGAGATCGGACATCGATCTCGAAAAGAGAGCGAAATTCGCTTCTTCTCATACACTGAATGCGAATATGTTTATTCGGATTTTTCAGCTGCAGTGAATTTTTCTTGTTATTTTGTAAAGTATGAGAAAAAGTATTCCACCAATTTATAAAAGTTATTGTCAATCGAAAAATAATTTTTTATGAATTTTCCAAATTTTTGATTAATTTTATTTTTTGTAGTTTTAAAATTATTGAATATTTAATTATTATTAATTATTAAATTATTATTAAATGTTTTAAATATTATTATAGTATGCTTTCTTCTATAAAAAATTTTGTTTGACTGATCTAAATTAATTATTTTTCTCTTGTTTATTTATAAAAAATAGAAAATTGTTAAAAAATTATTATTAACAAATAGTAAATAAATACCCATTTTATGCATAATTTTTATTTCTCAATAACAATATTGTTCACAAACTCATTCTTTTATTTTGGGAAAGAAAACATTACATATTCCCGTTTCTTAATATTTTTGTAGAAAATTTTCAATTTTCATAAGTAAATAATTTATATCATTTCTATTTCACGCGTGAATTGTTGCTTGTAAAATATTAAACTAAATAATAAATTAAATGCGGGATGAAGTTTGTAAATAATTAAATAAATAAATGAAATAAAAAAAATATAAATAAATATTAATATTATATTATAATTATAATAAATATTTATTTATTATTTATTGAATTTATTTAATATTATATTACACGAAATTGTGAAATATAATTTATGAACAAACGGAAGTAAAAGGGAATTTGTTAGCACTCGAGAAAAATTTTAATTGCTACAAAAGACAGACAATGAAAGTAGAGTAAATATCGTGTTTATGCGATTAAAATATGTCAACACTTGGAAACTAATTAAAGATTTCAGATAACTTTCTATTATTACTTCTCCTAGGCTTTTAATATTTCACTTCGACTCCACCCTTCACATTTTTATACACGTATGAAATAGTTGGAATAACACACGATTCCCATTGAGTTCAAGCTCAGGTCAAGTGCAATCGTAACGATATGGCATAATGACTTTCGCCATTCTATTTCCAACATCGCTAATTTTTTTTACAGTAAAAAGAATAAGATAAATGTCATTTCCAATAAGTACAGTATTTAATGAAAAAAAAATTTTATCACCTTTTTTATTTTATTAAAAAAAAGACTAATCTTTTTTATTTTAATTAAAAAAAACTAATCTTTTTTTAACGGATTTTTGTTACTATTTTTTTAATTCATTATATTTATTTTCTTTTTATCCCCACGTAGAAAAATTACATGGAAATAACCCCTGGAAATTCCATAAAATTTCCGTGGAAATTCAGTGAAAATTCTGCAAGTTTATTATATTTTAATATTGTTTTAACAAATGTTAAAATATTATTAAAATAAAAAACTTACAGAATTTCCTTCACTTTTCCCTGATTTCCAGACAAAATTTTGAATTTTTTCCCTGACTCGGAGTTATTGATATCTTCATGTTTTGTATTAATTAAAATTTCCATAAAATTTTTCAAAAAAAAAAAAATTAAATTAGGTATTTACAAAAATTTTAATAAAACCCTTCCCAAGAATTTAATTATTTTTACAAGTAATAAAATTTTTCACATAAATTCAATTATTTAAAAAAATGTAATAAAATTGATTCTGTGAATTCAATTATTTTCATAATTAATAAAAGTTTTCATAGGATTTCAATTCTTTTTAATACAATTTTAAATAAATTTCTCAAAAAATGTAATTATTTTCAAAAATTTTTTGCAAGGATTCAATTATTACATTTCACAAATAATGAAATTCTTGGCTGAAATTCAAATATTTTCAAAATCTACTATTTTAATCAAGTTTCTTAAATGAATTCAATTTAAGAAAAAAATGTAATTAAATGCGTTGCAAGAATTGAATTATTGTCATAAATAATACAATTCTTTACAGAATT